AATGGAACTGTTTTGTTAAACCACAGTACGGGCCAAAATTCGCGTAACCCCATCAAGTCTGCCTGAAAAACCTTGTAGCTCGCAAAGCGTTTACCCAAAGGATCCGCAAGTCATACTGTGTGGAAACTAAAAATAAATCCTTAAAATAAGGCATATTTAGATTTATAAAGTATTATCTAAGAACTAATTTGCTTTGCCGAAAACAGTCAAACCCAAAAAGGGCTCAGTTTAATGATAGAAAAAGTCGATATATAAGTGACAAAAGTGTAAGAAAAGAAGGAAACGTAATAAATATGTAACATATTCATATTTTGTTGAGTGTCCTTTAACATTTATAACAGCAGTAATTCGGGAGGGCACAGTGACAAATAGGATGACAATGGTGATTTGGATTATACCATTTATAGCGATGAACTTCAATTTCTATTCCATTGGCAAATGTTTCGGTGGTTTGTCCTAGTTTCTCTTGAGTAAGGCAAAGCGATTTTCAAGGGAATTGAGGTCCGGACTGTTTGGAGGAATAACCATACTTCTCAGGCCGCAGGCGGAAAGGGGTGCTGTTGTCTTACAAAATTAGATTATAGTCGTAAGGTAAATTATAATAGTACCTCCTTTGATCGGTGAGCAGGGGCATTGTCTTGTAGCATGACAGTTTCCATTCGACGCCTGTGAGTGTCATCAGAACTAAAGGTATCTTTGGCAATGTCCACATATGCCATGCTTTTAATGGTATATTTTGTCAACCGCCAAATTGGTCGCTCACCGAATATGATCGCCATCCAAACCATGAGGCGTCGATAGTTCCTGAATGTTTATGTCGAAGCATTGTGTTCTTTGGGGAATTTCTTTCCGCAAATGACCGCATGTGCCGACTTTTAAGACTTGTCTAAGAAGAGTACATCATCACAATATAAAATGTTTTTTTCCAAAATGAAAGTCTGTGACTAACGTATTCCTGAGTAAATTGGAAACGTTCGTTAATAGGTTTCCTACTTAAAAATGGCTTAACCGTAGCCATCTGCTGATGAAGACAACATTTCCGTCTTCTGTTTCCAACTAGGCTTCGAGGGAACATTGAAAAATTTTCCCTGTGAGTAGCAGTAACGGGCATATAATGAATTTTTTTAGTGTTCGACGAATAAAATTGTTATCCTGTTTTTTAGACAGTTGTCGTCCAGAATTCTTCCTTCTGGGTACTGTTTTATGGTTAATAATTCTGCATACTGTGGCTTTGCTTATATCAAACATATTGGCTAATAAATTGCGAGGCAGCCATTCGGCTGCCAACTTTCGTAAGTGGACAAAATCAGCTTCCGATAGGAAATGATTTGACATCATCACGGCATGGTTCGACACGTAAAACTGAAAGTATGTCGCACGTTCCCTTTTATATATCAAGTTCATTCTCGTAGTTATCGAAACGTTACTAAATTTTTTTCATACAAATTTATTACTGCATTTTGTGGCACAAAAACTCCACAGAATAGACGAAAATAATTTTAAAAACTGGAATTGTTCTTTGTTTTCGAAAATAAATGCGATTCCTTAAACCTGAACTCACCTGCACCTGAACAATTTCGGACAACATTTTCCGGTTCTGGAAGGCATAGCTTTTATACCTTTTTGCTTGTGTTGGAATTCCTCCAAAGTGTAATGCATATTAATAAAAAGTTTGGTTCTGTCATAGGTAATACCAAAGGAAATTTCTTCAATATGAGAATCCTCCCAATTTCGCCAAAATTAATGCCAATTTCTCTTAATAAACCTAATTTAAATGGCGATTTTCTTAAATAAAGGGCTTTCCTAGGATTAAATCCACTTATTGAATCAAAATAATGTGACCAAGTATATGCTTATTTATCAAGTCAAATTTCGTCATGAAAGTTGCTCTACCTTTGGTTAACACTGTAATAGTACTGGTACCGCTGAAGATGTTGGGAGAGTTGGTACTCCTTCTGATGGAGGATAATTTCGTGTCTATAAAGTGAGTTGGCCGTTAAAAAAACATTTCAGTTACGTTTACTGTCTTGCATGCGCGTTTGGCAGAAAACAGGCCTATTGCACCTAAA